TCAGCTGTTTGTGAAAGCGAAGATTGGGTTTCTAGTCTAATCTCGCCATTTAATCAGTTGTGTGATTAGTTACTCATTAGTCACTGTGTGATTAGTCTTCATCCAATCAATTTTCTACTACTCATTAACGCTCTTCATTCATCTACGTAACCCCTTCATTTAATATAGGCCTATCTGTGTATTCACTCATCTTTAACTCCTCATAAAAGGGAATATCTGTGCATTACCTCATCGACCATTTGATAATTTTCTCATCCACCATTCACTTACGAATCCACAGCTGTACCTATTTTATTAATTTACTCACCACGCAACCACACATAACTGCAGCTATCTCTCTCTTCACTCACCAACCATACTACCAGTCACCATTACCCTTATTACCTTTCGCTTTTCAGTCGTGCGTCGTATGCGGAGATCCCGCCCCTTTCCTCCAGCCGAGCGCCGCCCTCGTCTGCGACTCCTGCAGGGCCTTCTTCTGGAGGAGTGTCGTGGACGCAAGTTACAAAGACTTCGCCTGCGCCAAAAGCTGGGGCTGCATGGTCACGGTGTCAGCGAGGAGAGCTTGTCAAGCCTGCAGGTTGGTGATGCAAGGTGTTGCTGAGGGCGGAAATGGGTGTTTTTTCTCTCGGGTAAAATTGTGGTGGTGATTATTGCAGGTGTTATAAGGATAGTGGTGGTGATGATGGTGTTTGTAAAGAGGGTGATGATAATGGTGGTGGTTTCCATAGTGCCGATTGGTGTTCATAAGAATGGTGATAATGGAGAAGGTAGTGTAGATAGTGATGAATCTGATGACTTCTGTGATACGGAGGACAGTAATCATGAAAAAGAAATTGATGTTACTAAGTAAATTGGTAATGTCGAGAATATTAATAATAGTGAGACTTAAAAAAAAAAAAAAAAAAAAAAAAAAAAAATATATATATATATATATATATATATATATATATATATATATATATATATATATATATATATATGTGTATATATATATATATATATATATACATATATATATATATATATATATATATATATATATATATATATATATATATATATTGGTGATAAAAATAAGCACAAGAAAAATAATAATTTTATAATTCATGACTAAAACATTTAGCATCCATGACTCAAATGATAATAGGAACAATAATGAAAAGGAATCAAGAATCAAACACGCAACAAGAACAAAAATCAATAATCACAACACTAACAGTAACAATAAAAATAACAACAATAACAGTAACAATAAAAACAACAACAATAACAGCAATTACAACAACAGTAACAACTAAAATAACAAAAATAATAACAAGTACAACAATATCAGCAACAGTAACAACAACAAGAATAAAAACAATTAAAACAGCATCAACAACAACAACAAAGACTCCATCCCCTCAAAAGAAAACGAAACCATAATAAAACAAATAAAGGAAAAATGAAAGAGAAACCTTATAAATAAGTCAATCGATCATAATAAAGTGTGTCAGAAAAAACACACTATATTATGTGGCTTTATATCTCATGTGGATATAAACGGTACAGAAAATACTGATTACAATAGGGTATTATACATCAACGTTTGTAATAGATTTATAGACGAGAAAAAGAGAGACAAACAAATAGAAGTTTGGTAAATTTTGAAAATTATATGTTTTTTATATAGTAATCCCCCATGAAACGTGAACATGGTGATGAGATTTCTAAATTCTAAAGTTTAAAGAGTAGAAAATCTCAGATCGAATGATTATGATATAACTAGTCTATTGAATTGCAGTCAGTAGGTCGTGTGAACGGAATCGCTAACAATGGTCCTTATTGCAATGTACAACACAAGTATGAATACGATTATTTCTTTCACTTCTGTATAATTGAATCGTTGCAAATTACATATCCTATCATAGAATTATAGCATGTAAACTAGGCACTATATTAACAAAAACAACAACGACAACAAACATGGCGGTACGTAATACACTATTTCTTTTTTTTTTCATTAAGCATATTATTTTTATTACTACACACACACACACACACACACACACACACACACACACACACACACACACACACACACACACACACACACACACACACACACACACACATATATGTATACATACATATATATATATATATATATATATATATATATATATATATATACATACATACACACATATCTTTATAAGCACAGACGCACACGCACATGCACAAAGCACAACACACACACACACACACACACACACACACACGCATATATATATATGGTGATGATGATAATGGTGGTGATGGTAATGATGGTGGTGGTGATGATAATGATGATGGTGGTGGGGATGATGATGGTGATGATAGTGACGCTGATGATGAAGATGATGGTGATGACAATGATTGTGATGGGGATGACGGTGATGATTGTTATTGGTATTCTTCTTCTCATTATTGATGCTATTATTACTAGTATTGTTATCGATATTATATATAAATAATA